ATTTTTATAATTCTTTATTGTTTTTGTTTTATGATTTTTATTTCCTACTATCCGAGCAAACAAAACAAAATGAAAAAACACCAAAATGAACTCAAAGTGTAAAATTAAATATCTTTACTTCTTTTTAGTTTGTACTTGTTTTGTAGTCTTCTTTTGTTCAGTAGCGGCTTTAGACTTTTTTGCTGATGTAGAAGTCTTTTTCTCTGTTTTAGAAGCTGCTTTAACACTAGAAGTTTTCTCTGTTTTAGTAATCTTGTCAAGAGCTTTCTTTTCTTGCTTCTTTAAATCTTTTTCGGTTTTCTTGGTGATTTCTTTTTTAAAAACTTTGCCAAGAGTCTTCATAGATTTTCTTAATGGCTTCTTAGTGACTTTTTTAGCTTCTTTCTTAGCTTCATTTCTTGATTTAACAATAATTAAATATTGGTGTTCAAGTTTTCTAATTAATCCATCGATAGCAGATCTACAAACCATCTTAATATCTTCATTAACTACACCTTCTGCTGTAGCCTCTTCAATTCTTTCAACAATCTTCTTATAATATTTATTATAAGCTTTCTTAGCTACTTTCTTGAATTTGTCTTTAGCCTTTAAGATATCACCTTCATTTTTATGGTCAATAGTCTTAACTAATTTTTCTGAGGCAATTTCAGCAGCCATCTTAGCATATTTATGAGCAAGGGCTTGAGTTTCCTTTAAGAGAAGTTTTTGATTATTTTCAATTTCTCTTCTAATATGAGAAGTTTCTTCAATACCAACTCTATGCTCTGTTCTAGTACTTCTAACTAATCTATCTCTATCAGGAAGAGCAATCTTATCAGCCATCTTCTTCATTCTTCTAAGGATGGCTCTTTTTTGTCTTCTAATTTTATCAAGGTTCTTGTGCAATTTATCAATTTGGGTTTCAATCTTCATTCTATCAGCAATACTAACAGCAAGTTTCATATCATCATATAATATATCTAATACATTCTCAATTTTTCTTTCTCTATTTTCAAGAGCTAATAAAGTTCTTTCATTTCTACGGCTGGAGGATTTAATTCTTCTCATTCTGTTTAATAATGTCTTTCCATGAATAAATGGGTTGAATAAATCTTCTTCTGCAAATGCACAGAAGCAAATAAGAGCAATAAATAAAGCTTTCATCAGCTAATAATAAAATATATTTTTATTCAGTTCATTTTTTTATTAAGTTACTTTTTGTTTTTTTTTTTATTTTTTTTAATTTGTAGCTTTCTTTGTATAGTTTATTACTAAATTATTTTATTATTTTTTATAATTTTCTTTATTCTTAAAAATCAACTAAAAAAATAAAGAAGAATTAAGAATTATTAGTTCTTATCATTAATTTTCTAACAACTTCTAACAAAAAAAAATGGTTTATTTATAAAAATAAAAATATTTAATAGAAAAAAAGAATAAAACAATGATTGAATTAATCATTTTGACTTCACTTAACAAGCGTGAATCTTTTCGCAAACAACGACTGGGTCAACATGATTTTCAATAAGCTTGACAAGTTCATCAACACCAAATGAAAGGATTTTTTCACAAAGAGTTCCAAGGAATCCACTAGCTTTACCACAAAGGTTGTCGATATATTGTCTAACAGCTTGAGCACCATCAACAGTTAAAAGGTTTTCAACAAGTTTAACTGTATCTTTACAAAGATTGCAAAGAATAGCTCCTTCTCTTGTTGCAGCAAAGGCAATAGCAAAGATTAAAACAAAGATAATAGCTCTCATAATAATTTGATTAAACAATTGATAATTTAGTTCATTTTATTAGTTTAAATACCATCATTTCACTTTTACTATTATTTCATTATTATAAAACTATCTTTTTTAAGTCATAGAACAAAATGGATTTAACTGAAAAATCAAAAATCCCAGAAAATTCTTTTTTTACGAATCAATTAGAACATATTCCTTCCTTCCAATTATTTTTTCTATTCTTTTTCAATGTAAATTAAAATTTATTAACTACTAAATCTTTGTTAATTTAAAATCTTATTTCATAATTTTTTTGAATATAATGTTTTTTGAAAAAAAAAGTAATAAAAGTAATGTTTGATTGTAAATTTATGAGATAAACCACATACTATTAAAAACATTGTTTTAACGAGAACTCTTTTTCATAAAACGTTATTTTCTTTTATTTTATTTTTTTTTAAAATCAACATTTAGTTTTTCTTTTATTCAATATGAGTTATTGTGTTAGTTATATTAAATAAATTGCTAATCCAAAAACAATATTAAAAACACTTATTATCAATTAAGATAAAAAGAATAATTAAGAAACTAAAATAAAGTCTTCAAACTAGAAATATACTTTAAACGATTTATTTTATTTAAGTAAATTAGAAGAAACAAATAAAATATTTTCATTATGTAGACTCTCTCATACAAGTACCTAAAAAATGATTATTCATGAAAAAGAATTATTGTTTTAAACTTTTAGTTTTTTCATCGAAGTGTTATATTTAACATTATTTCAAAAAGAATTTTGTATTTAATAAATTATTCATTTATAGAAGAAGTAATGACAATTTCTGTTGAACGAAGTTCATCATTATGAGGAACAAATAGTCCAAATGTTATTAATTCTTTTATTAAAGTTTTTATCTCATCAGGTGATTTATCAGGAAAGAGTGATAGACAATTTTCTACAGAAATAATACCTTTTCTATTAACATTGTTTAATATCACTCTATAATCTGTAAATATTTGTTGTTCTTTAGGTTTACCATCTTCACAATGACGAATTATATCAAATAAAGAAAAAGAGTTAAAATCAATTTTAGTTGAAACACAACAACATTCAACTTTTGATTGATAATTTGATTGGAAAGTTTTAATTGTACCTATTGTTATTGAAATATAATCTAATAATAATTTAAATGTTTCAGAAGATGGAGATGAATTAATTGTATTTATAATATTTTTTAATTCATCATCAGCATCTTCAGGAATATTAATTTTATTGAAATGTGAAGGAAAATTAAAATTAAATAAGGGTTGTGCAATATCAGAAATATTAAGAAGTGAAGTGTATGGTGGTAATAATTTATGAAATTGAATTTGTGATAATGTTTGAATTGAGAATAATAGTCGAGTAAATATAACAGATAAAAAGTCATAAGTTTGTTCAATCCCCAATTTAACTTTTTCATCTGCTTCAGATATTCCGTCAAGAAACTGAGGTATTATTAGTGAAGGATTTGTAAATATCACTGAATGTTCTATGTGTCTAATTATAAATTGAATGAATAAATTGTATGAATGATGAAAATCTCTATATAACATAATATTATATGATATTATTGATGGATGAATCAATGGCAATTTACCAATGATAGTTTCTTTTAATTGTATATATTCAAAATGATTAATTAACTGTGTTGTACTTGTTGAAATAGTTGCTATTTTAATCATTGGATAATCATGTCCAAGCAAATATCGATCACACTCAACTGTTGTATTTCCAACTATAAACACTACTAATTTCTTTCTTAATGATTCTGCAATTCTCCAAACAGTTTCAATATATTTTTCTTGTTCAGGTAATTCAATTATAATAACAATATTGTCAGTTGATTCAAATGTGTCTTCAATGTTAATATTACGCCATAACCTTCCATAACTTAATAATGTTGTTCTAATACTTGATATGTAATCATAATTTGTTATTGTCATTCCAACAATGGAAATAATATTAACACAAAACTCTTGTATGTTGTTTAAACATCCATCTATTTGTTTAACTAATCCTTTAACTAACTCATTAAAAGGAGTCATTCTATCTTGATAATACTCATCATATAAATATTGTATAAATTTATTTCTAATAATTTGACTTTCTTCAGTTAAAAGAAAATTCGTTTTTTCTTTCATTCGTTCACTTCTTAATTTACATTCAACTGACTTCAAAATATCACATGGAATAATTCTATCGTCATCATCAAAGAAAATTTCATCATCTTCTTGTTCATTAAAAATAATACTTTCTTCAGGTTTTTTATCTGAGACTTCATCATCATCGACAAATAAAACTGAATCTTCGCTTTCTTCCTGTTTATTTTTTTTCTGTTCTTTCATTTCATTTTTTTCATCATCACTTAGTCCTTCCGTCCTTTCTTTTTGAATTAATAACTGTCCATCTCTCGACCCAAATCCTTTCTTCCGAGGTTTACCAAGTTCCTTGAAGATGTTAGTCTTATCCATTTAAAAAAAAATAAAATGACACAATTTGGAGTTTTTTGTTCTTGTTTTTTTTTCTAAAATAATAATTTAATTAAGACTTACAAATAATCTTATCATATAAGAAATTATTTTATTCTTGAAAACTCTTTGTGATTCTTAACCATTTATTATAATGTGACTATTTATCAACAACAGTTTCATCTCAATTTTTTATATTACTTGTTTCATATTATTATATTTGACTCTATTACTCATAATACCATATACTTCATCTATCAATAGAACCAAAATGAATTATTAATAAGATATTGTAAAAAAAGAAATTTTCATTTGGTAATGATTAGAAGATAATAAAAAATAATGATATTATAATGTAATAATAACTATTGAATACTTATTTTGACTACTTAATTAAAGTTAAATCTACTCTTAATAAACTAGATATTGTATTTCTATCTAGATATAAAAAAAATATAATCTACACTTTATTTAATTTAAAAGTACTATTCATTAATACAAAATGTATAATAAATAACAAATAATTGTTAGTAATAAGTATTTACTGTTTTATTTGAATAAAACATACTGACAAGATAAATTAAAAATATGTTCTATTTTTCTCAGAATATGTTAAATAAAATACAACAAAAACAATAAACCAAATAATATGACTATTCATTTCTGCTTATTACAACATTTTATTTATTATCTATCATAATATCTCACAAGAAAATTCTATATAACATGATATACCCTGAAATTATTTTATTTTTCTGAAACAAATAAACAAAGTCAGTCTTTCAAAAAAGAATAGATAAAGCTAAAAACCAAATGAATAAAAGAAATTAAAACGAACTTTTGATAATCTTTTGATTCAGCAAATTTATTTTGATACTAAAAGAGTAGATGATTATTTGATAATAACTCAATAATTTAAATTCCAACAACAAGAAATTCAACGTAAATACTTATTATTTAACTTATCAATTATTATGAACGACCTAAGTAAGACTTAATTAAAAAAAATTAAATAAACACTCGCTGGACATTTAATAATGTTATTTAAACAGAAAAACCCTTTAAGTGAAAATAAAAAATACAAAGAATAGTGATTTTCTATTTAATAATAAATGTTCTTAAATAAATTACTACGAGGATGAACGTAAATTAATTAAAACTTGTTACCACATTCACTACAGAACTTTCCTCCATTATTCTTGGCACCACAACTTGGACAGAACTTTGGAAGATCAGATGGAGCAGGTTCTGATCTGACTGGAGCATTTCTCATTTGTTCAGCCTCTTCTTGGGCAGCAACCTCAGCAATTCTACCACCAACAACAGTAGAATTATCAACCTCTCCTTTTCCTCCACCATAACCAGTATATGAAGTAAGAACATTTCCTGGTTGGAATCCTTTAAGTCCTTGTTTTTGTGCATGACAATTAACACAATAAGGCATGCCATCAGACTCACGAGCTTTAGAAATTTCAAGTGTCTTATGGCATGAAGTACATTTGAAGCAACCAATTTTATGATAATCCTTACCAGCGAAAGTTAATCTTTCGTTGAAATAAACACGCTTATGACAAGTTGGGCAGATTGGTGTTCCTGACATTGTTTTTTTCAGTTCAAACTATCTAACTTTTTTTACTTGACGCTTATGACGTAAGCAAGTTTGTTTTCTTTATTATTTAGAGTTTGTTTATCTCATAATTAAATCATCCTTGTTATTTAAGTTCTTAAATTATTTTATTCAGGAGCAAAAATAAACTTTTTTCTTGAAAAATACAACTTTATTATTCTGTTTTTGTTACTATTCTTCAACACTCAAAACTGGTAAGTTAAATGAGTCATTCAATAGTTGCTCTAACTCTTTTAAAGACAATACCTCTAACTCTAATTTACATTGGACTTTTATCAAAAAATTCACGGCTTCTATAATTTGTGGTTCAAATACCTTTGATTTCAGACGTACTAACTAACTGGATAAATTATTTGTGAGATTATTTTAATTAACATAACAAACCTTCTTCTGATCAATTAAGGAAAGTGGGATTTTTGAAGAGGATGGAATATTGTTAATAGACTGCTGAATGTAATTAAAAAATAATAACCGAATTGGTGATAGAATAGGATATTCTCTGTCTAGCCTAATGTAATTATTAAAAATATCTAGTCCGAAAGGATCAAAATCAACCATACAACATAATTTAATTTGTTGATTCGAAGAGATTAATAAATTAATGAAGTACTTGGTTGCAGAGTCAGGAAAGCCACATGCAGTAATAATAAGAATATTATTTTTATTCATAGAGAACCAACTTGTTTTTATAATTTGACTGAAGACAGTATATTTTTCTACTATCAAAATGTGGGTAGCTGTAGTTTTTATTTGAGTATTTTTCATGGTTGAAATTAAAGGAATTACTGTTTCTTTCTCTGGTGTTATTTGTGTAGTTTTCGTCTCTCTGACCATTGTTATATTGCCGCAAAAAAAAGATTTTTGAGCTGCAACGATGTGAAAATCTTCTTTAGGTAAATGAAATACCTTTTCAGACAATTTTTTTACAATTTCATCAACAACTCTTTGATGTTTAAAGAGATTTTTATCTAAATAATAGATATGTCTCTTCGTTACAGAAATGTTTAGAAGAGTTGCTTCTTGTATAACTTTTAATACCATAAAAACTTGAGCAATTTTTATTAATGAATGATCTCGAATAAACATAGATGTTCCAACAAATTTTTTGTTTGTTGTGATACAATTTAAACTTGATATAAATTCAAGGAGGAAGGTTTGTATTTTATCCAACACAAATTGGTTGATATTTCCATTAATGAAAGTCTGTTTAGGAGAGTTAATAGTATATTTATTCTTAGAAGGTTTCATATAAGAATTGTTTTTTTTTTTGAAACAACCAAATAAAAGGAGTTATCTTTTCATTCTAGGAGATACAATCTTCGTTTTAATTTTTAATTAATCAAAGTTTGATAAAAACTATTAGAAACTATTGATATAAGATTTTCACCCAAAAAAATCTAAAAAGGTATTGAATAAGAAAGTAATCTTTGAAGAGAAATAAGAAATGAAGAATAAACATAAAAGAGTGAAGAACCGATTTTATTACTATTAGTTTTTAGTCATTTTCTTAAGAGTGTAACACATCCAATCTAAACCTTCGAAAAGACCATCACCTGTATAAGCAGAACATGGGAAAATTTGGCAACGTAACTTTTGAGTTTCAGTAAGACCAAGTTTTTCGTTGAAAGTAGTTTGATCAAACTCTTTTTTATCTGTTTTATTAACATATATTAAAAATGGCATACCTTTTAATTCTGAATCAGCAAGCATATTTAATAAAGCATTTTTAGATTCATCAAAACGGTCTTCATCAGTATTATCAAAAACAAAAGCAATACACTTAACATTTGGATAATATGATTTCCAAAGACCTCTGAATTTAGCAGCTCCTGAAACATCCCAAAAAAGCCATTCAAAAGTTTTATATTTTAAGGTTGGATTTAAATAACCAATAGTTGGTTTAGTTTGGATAGTTTTGGGGTCTTGACCTTGCATCTTAAGTAACATTGATGTCTTTCCAGCACCATCAAGCCCACAAATTAAAATATTCATTTGTTTCTTTTTGAAAAGAAATGATAAGAATGACATTCAGTTATAACTTTAAGTGATATATTTTAAGATTGAAACATTTTTAGATGTGTAGCTATTTTGAGGGGTATTTCTCGTTCATAGATTTTTTATCTTTTTTTTCTTTCTCCTTTTCATATTTTTTTTGTTTTTTGTATTTATGTTATTCTTTGTTTATAAGTCAATTTTTATTTTAAATCAAAGTTATAAACTTGATTTACAACATTGGTTCATTCTGAAGAGTTTTTTTAAAGTTCAAATAACAAAAATTTATTTTATTTTTGTTTTAATAAAAATATCAAAAAATAAAAAATTTATTTTTAGAAATGAACTTAAAAAAAAAAATAAAGAATGTCTGTTGGAAATGATGGTTTGTTCAGGTTTCTTATCAAAAGAGATAATTTCTTCATCTGTCTAACCAGTTAGATTCAAAACTAAAAATTGAAGAAGAAATAAAACAAGAAATAAGTTTAAATGAAAAGATAGAAAGTGATAATAATTCAAATAAACAAGATGAAGAACAAACAACACAATCAACACCTAGTACTCCAAAACAGTCAGGGGTTTCTTTGAAAGAACTTATTGCACAACAACATCAACAACAAAAGAAAAAAGAAGTTGTAATGGCAAGTATTTTTATTCAAAGGAAAATTAGTGAAAGTGCTGAAGAACCAAAACGAACTATTAGTTGTGACTACTCACCAGAAACAAAGGAAAAACACTCTCGACTGAGAGTAGAAGAATTTTTTAGAACAATACTTCATTCTAATAATCCGTGCCATAAACTCGATATTCCTAAATACTTAATGTTACCAATTCCATCTAATGTTTTAATGGAATCAATTATTATTCCACAAGACACATCAAAAATTAGATTACTTGGGACTGCTTATGCTGCTCACTCAAATAGTTATGCAACTATTTTCACACGGGTATACTCAACACATCGAATTATTCTTGTTGCAGATCCAGTTCATACAATTAATGCTGATTATGCTTCACAACAATTTGCAAGTTTATTCTTTAAATGTTATGAAACTCAATTCTCTTCAATTATATCAGCTACAAACACAGTTGAAGCATTAGTAGAGACTATGACTGATATTGATATTGTGTTTTCAAAAAATAAACTTGTTCCTGTCAACTTTACTCTTTTGATTATTTTTAATGAAGATTGTGGTTTTGGTGAAAGTAAATCATCGGTTTTGTCATTAGTTGTTGGTGATTTTAATGTATTTAAATTAAATAAAACAACAGGAGTCAAAAAGATTTGTGAAGAAGGGAATTATAGAATTGGAGAAAATACAAAAGATGATGCAAAAGTATATTTTGATTGGTCTTATTTCAACAATGATGATGCTCTTATTATTACAACAACAAAAGAGTTCCAAGGTGTTGAAAATCCAGAAAAATTTTTAATGGAAAAATTTGAGTCAACTGGAGTTCTTGATAGTATTATTAAAGAAACTTCTACCGTCGCTGTTGCTTTTTCTTTAAATATAGATTTGTGGCATGTCCATTCTTTTATGGGAAGACCAAAGAAAGAGTGGTTGAAACCACAAATGATTAAAGCATAAATCAACACAATTAGATTACATTGATTTTGGTTTAAATAAAGTAACATATTATATTTAAAAAAAATATATATATATATATTTAAAAGAATTCTGATTAATCTAGCGGTTAATATTTAATTTAACCATTATAATAACTCTTTAAAAATAAATGTATTATCCAATTGAACTTAACTTTAAGCGTTTTTTTAATTTCATAATGAGATAATTAATCAATTTAAATAAAATCAAATACTCAAAATAATATGAGACGTTGAATATAACATTACTTATTTTACGTAGAAAGTTCGATATTATCTTAAACAATTTTTGATCCTCTTGAAAAGAATAAGAACTGTAAAAATTAATTATTTCATATGAAAAACATTGTTCTTATTATTTTGTATATACTTATTTGTTATGGAAAACTTATTCAAGTTAATTTAGAAAAAGGGAATGAAACATTAGATAGTTATATTGCTTATATTGGATATAATGAAATATCAGAACAAAGACATAACTTACCAGTTTATTGGAATAGAAGAAACCCTACAGAACTTCATTGGGACTCAACTCTTTCTACAATTCAAAATCGTACTGCAACATTAAGAATTAAAACAGTTCCAAAAAGACCACAAATTGTTGATATGAGAGAAACTATTTGGTTATTACATGATCAAGAGTTATATCTTTATAGTCTTGTTTCTGAAACACCAACAATTTATCTTAACTCTACTTATAGTGGTCAATTTGATGAATATGCACCTTTAGTATTTCAACACTTTGAAAAAGATAATATTCAAACAGATACATTAATTACTTGTCTAAATGGTAAATTAGTTGGTATTAAAGTAGAAACATTAACTCCTAAAATTACTACTGAATATGATTGTGGAGAATATATTAGTGCTGGAAGTCAAATGGTTGTTGTAAAAAAAGGTCAAAGTATTAAATTATATCAATTTGATGCTTCACAAGATGAATATTATATTTGGGGAACAATTAATTATTATAAAGATATATTAATTAATGGTATTGATACATCAGAAACATTTCAATATGACGCTGTAAGGATAAATAGATATAATATATTATATTGTATTTTATCTGATAAAAACAAAATTGTTTCATTTGATCCAAATTCTAAATATTCAAAAGAAGAAATTCTTTCAAATGTTCCATTTTATTCAGATAATGTTACTGAATATATTCAACCATTAAGTCAACAACCATTTGATAATATTGGATCTTATGGACAAATAATTGTTGTTGGAACACCAGGATATTCAATAAATAATAAAATACATTGTGGAGGAGCATATGTATTTTTTGATAATTATTTTGATTATGGATATGAACCAAGATTTGTTGAAGTAATGAAAATTTCTGGAAATTATGAATATCAATATTTTGGATATTCAGTTTGTTCATCAAAAAATTCAATTTGGTTGGGTGGATTAAATAATATTCCAATTAATTTTAATTATCCAACAATTAGTATTTCAATGAAAAATTATAATAAAGAATATTGTTCAGAGTCTAATTGTCAATGTAGATCAAATATGTCATTTATTAATGGAAAATGTAATTCAGAAGAAACAAAGAATAATAATAATAAAATAACAATAATATTAATAGTAATATTACTAGTATTAATAATATTTATTATTTTTATTCTTATTATTGTTATACTAGTTATCGTTATACCAAAAAGAAAAAAATCAACAAAATTTAGAATAAAAAATTTTAATCATGACTTTACTTCATTTGAAAATTTTCCAATATCATTTAGTGATACTCATCTTGATTTTGGCTTTTCTGATAAACCAGCTCCAGTGAGAGAAGAAATTATTCAACAAATAACTATAGCTAATAAAACAAAAAAGAAACAATATTTTGTTTTTAATCCAAATGAAATTCAATCATATAAATACAACATTAGTTTTGAACCAAAATGTATTAAATTACAACCTGGATTTGGTCAATCAGTTATTATTAAATTTGAACTTTTATGTACAACTAAAGTTAATGATATTATTGATGTTGTTTCATGTGAAGGAGATGAAATAATTATTGGTAAAGAACTTCATGCTGCTTTAACTATTGAATGTGAAAGTTGTAACAGTATTCAATTAGATTATCAAGAATTTGAAAAAGAAAGAGTTATTGGAGAAGGTTCATTTGGAATAGTTTATGTTGGAAAATATAGAGGAACTCAAGTAGCAATTAAAGAAACAAAAAACTTTTCTTGGCCTCAAGATATTATTGAAGCATTTCAAAAAGAAGTTTTGATGATGGATAAAATGAGATGTCCTTATATTATTAATTTTGTAGGAGCTGTAGATACTCTTGATCATTATTCTATAATAACAGAATATGCACAATTTGGTAGTTTAAAAGATGTTTATCAAAAGAATGAATTTAGTGATTTATTAGCATATAAAATGTTAAATGATGTTGCTAAAGGAATGACATTCCTACACTCTAGTTCAATAATTCATAGAGACTTAAAACCAGATAATATTTTAGTAATATCAATGAGTAAAGATGAAACAGTTAATGCAAAATTATCTGATTTTGGAACAACAAGAAATGTATCATCTTCTTCAGCATCAGATTCAATGACTAAAGGAATAGGAACTCCATTGTATATGGCACCTGAAATTTTATTAAATAAACCTTACTCATTCCCTATTGATGTTTATGCATTTGCAATAGTGTCTTATGAAGTTTTTTTAAGAAAAATACCATATGGAAATGGTTGTTTTGTTCATTCATGGGATGTTTCTGATTTTGTAAGTCAAGGACATAGACTTGATTTTCCAAAATCATTCTCTCCTGGAATTTGTGAATTAATTAAAAAATGTTGGGCACATGATCCAAAACAACGACCAGTATTTTCTGAAATTGATAGAATTACAAGTAAATTATTTAAAGAATCATATAAATCATATGAAGAAGAAAAAGCACTTAGAAAAACTAATTCATCAATACAAATAAAACCACAAACTCAACAATGTAATGAATCAACATCTCAATTAGGAGTTGAAATAGAAATGAATAATGAATAAAAAAAAATAGGATTATTTAATTTTTAATTGACTGTTTTACAGTAAACTTTGTTGATCTAATGGACCATGGTTTGATTGATAACTTGGAGAAGATTGATCAAAAATAAATCTATTCTTTACAACAGAATCAGTATCATCTCGTATTTGTGTTTCCATAGATATTTTAGTTGATGGTACTGGTGAGTTTTGAAATAATTGACTTTCTGGTGGTTCTGTATTTTGTCTACTAAAACGAATTGGTTGTCCACGAGAAGGGGGTGGTGCTAATTGGAATGAAGAATTTTTACGAGAGAAATTTGATGGAGAAGGTGTTTCTTTTTGAGCAGAAGATGTTGCAATAGAAATAGGGTCAAGAGGTGCTTGAGAAGATCTAAGTTTTGTATGTTTATCTTCAGTTTTATCAGTTATATGACCAGTAGTATAAGTACGATAAATGTCTTCTCCTTGTGGATTATTAATGATATTTGCTAATTGAACAATAAGTCTTGTAAAATTACTTTCTAATTCTGAATATTTTTGAATTTCTTCTGTATTTGTAGTTGTATTAATATATTTCACAAAAAGAACATTAAACTTACTATTTAATTCTACAGCCCTTTTATATAACGCTTTTACAGATTGAGTTCTAACTGACGCTCCAGTATTTTCTAAAGCATCTTGAATTAATTCACTACACTCATTGATTTCTTTAGTACTTTTTTCTAAATCATCAGCGAGAGTCTCACTATGTTCTGGTTGTGCTTGTTCTGGTAATTTATCTAATACTGGGAAATAAACTCCTTTACTTATGTATTTATCATACATTAATTGATAGTCATATAATTCATTAGGATAAAGAGGTCCCCATGTTTGAAGAATTCTCATAGCTTTTTCAGTAACTATTCCAGGTTTTTTTGACTTTTTACATTTCTACATTATTCAGTATTCTTTTTATTATAGAATATGATAATAATAATATTGTTATTGTAATTTATTTCCTACAAAAAACAACAAACCTCAAAATCTGCTGACCTTTCAAACAACGTAACAAAATCTGGATTTAATACTTGTGGTCGGAATTGTGGACAGTTTAAGACTAAATAATCTACTAAACATAAACAATAATACATCTCTTTCTTTGGTAAAAATCCATTACAATAAGCTTTCATTTTTGTAATTAATTGAACACGTAATGCTACTTGTGCAGATGGAATTGTTGCAGCAATTTTAGCTAATGTAGCATATGCTTTAATACTAGGTGATGGATGAATTTCATTTGTTGCATGGTCAACTATTTGACTTAAAGGGACAGTTTGTTTACCTTTACTCATTATTTTTTAAGATTTTTAAGTTGAGAAGATAGCTCAGGTTTGTTAAAGGGTAACAAAAAAATTAGGAACTATGAAGAATATTAGAAAATTCTTTTTCTTAATAATCTCTTATTTTTTTTAAGAATTAAAAGAGTTTCCCGTTTTTTTCCATGTATAATATTTTTAAGTTCATATTGAGTCAAAAAATTTTTTAATTAATAGCTTTTTTACCAAAAATAATTAATTCTTCATTTTGCGAAACTTCATCAAAATAAAAATAGAACTTAGAATAAAAAAGAATTATATTATTATGAATTTGTATATATAACAAAAATTATTATCAAAGAAGAGAATGTAATTCAAAAGAAAGAATGAAAGATAACAGAAAAAAAGGAGTTAATTAAATTAAACAAAGAATGGAATTTTTGAAAAAAGAAATAGGGTTTTTTAAATAAAGAATTGAAAGAAAGCTTACTGTTAAATATTATTAGTAAAACATGGAAATTGCTACGTTAATTAAATGTTCAATATATTCTATTATTAAGTTAGTATTTATTGCATTGATGGGATTTATAGCATCAAGATTTTCTGGATTTGATGAAAGAATGAGAGGGGGTTGGTCTAAATTAATTTTTACTTATTTTATGCCTGCAATTGTATTTTATCAAACAGCAACAGCAATTGATGAAATTAAAGAATTAAAAGAATTATGGATATTACCAGTTGCATGTTTAATTCATGGAATATTAGAATTTTTTATACCATTAATAATTGGATATATTCTTAGAATTTCTACATTAGATAATAGAGTTTTTGCTTTCACACTTGGATTTGCTAATGTTATGTATATTCCAATGGCAATTGTAGAAGCATTAACTAATGAAACTGATGAATTAGGAAATGATGCAAAAAATATAGCTTTCAGTTATATTTGCACATATCAATTAACGTTTATGATAACATTCTTTGTTCTTGGGTATAATTATATTAATTTTAATGTACGTGATGAACAAAAATTACAAAAAAAGAAATAGAAATGAAAGAAATTAAAATTGAAAAGGATGTTAATGAATTAAAGAATGAAAATATAATTCAAGAAAATAATAATAATGATAATAATAATGATAATAATGAAAATCATCAACCACAATCAAATAACTCTGACAATACTATTTCTGTTAGTAATGAACATGTTCATGATACTAATGGAGCTACTATTAGTAATAATGAAAGAAGAGTCTCACTTGATGAAAATCATTCAACTAAACAAGAATCTAAACAACGGTGTTCATCGTTTACACAACCTTTCATTAATTGTTATAAATTACTAAAGAAAATTGGTTATTGTATATCTCAACCGTTTATTAAAATATGGATGAAATTACCAGAAATTATTAGATTTTCAATTAAAAATTTATTTTCTATTCCAACAATGGCTGCAATCCTTGGTGTTATATTTATGTTAATTAAACCAATTAGAGACCCTTTACTTGTTTCAGGTAATTGGAGTATTATTGGAAGATGTATTTCCTATTTAGGTAGTTGTACTGTTTTTTGTGCATTATTCCTTCTTGGAGGAGCACTTTCAAATGGTCCACGAGGTGGTACCATTTCTACATGGAAAATAATGATTGGTATTATCGCTAGAATGGTTATAATACCAACAATTTGTTGGGTTGCAACTTATTTATTATATAAATATGAAATATTGCCATCTAACAAAGTGATGTATTTTGTTCTCCAAATTGAGTCATTTGCACCTCCAGCATTAAATAGTCTTGTTGTAGTTAATGTTTGTTATCCAAATGGAACAAACTCAACTTCAACTATATTGTTTTGGTCTTACATGTTAGCAATTATCTCTTTAACCGTTGATATAATAATTACTATGACAACATTAGATAATTGAATAGTAAATATTTGTATTAATTCACTTAAAATTCTTTTTATACCGTTGAAGTAATAACAAATTCTTCTTAAACAATTTAAAAGAAAATCTCAAAAATATACGTTATAAGTTATTATGGGAGGTCAGTTATCTATTGAAGCGAGATTAAAATCTATAATCCCTCAATTAACCTTCGACTCTCACAAAGGGGCGTGTGGTAAGGTTGCTATTATTGGTGGAAGTGTAGAATATACAGGAGCACCTTATTTTAGTGGTATAAGTGCTTTAAGAGTTGGTTGTGACCTTGCACACATTTTCTGTCACCAAGATGCTGCTATAGCTATTAAATCATATTCACCAGAATTAATAGTACATCCTTTCTTTAAAGAAGATTATGATACAAATGAAGTATTGAAATGGTTAGACACAGTACAAGCTTTGGTTGTTGGTCCTGGATTAGGAAGAGACGAATCTGTAATGGAAGCAACTCTTTCTATCTTAAAACAAGCAATAACTAAAAATATCATAATTATTCTTGATGCAGATGGGTTATTCTTAATAAATAATCACCTTGACTTAATTAGAGGAAAAAAGAATATTATATTAACTCCAAATGTTATGGAGTATAGAAGACTTTGTGATGTACTAAAAGTTTCTCATAACACTCCATGCAATAAAGTAGCTTTAATGTTAGGGGGAGTTACTATTCTTCAAAAAGGTCAAGTTGATGAAGTTTCAAATGGAAGTTATACCGTTCATGTTAAACATGTTGGATCTCCACGACGTTGTGGAGGACAAGGTGATGTATTAAGTGGTAGTCTTGCTACTTTTGTTGCTTGGAGTAAGTTAAACCAAGACTTTCAAGATGAAGATTTAATTTGTTGTTCCGTTGCAGCGTCAGCATTAGTTAAAGAGTGTAGCTCATTTGCATTTACAGAAAAACATAGAGGGGTTATAGCAAGTGATATTATCGAATCTATTCCCAGTGTTTTTGATCAGGTATTTGGACAAAACAAAATTCAGCTAATTTATGAATGAACAACATAAGTTATTTATACTTAATTAACTAATTTTTATTAATTCAGTAATTATTTTATTTTTATAAGAAACAAATAACTTTATCTTCATACACAATAAGAGATAAGATACATTGATATATTCTTTCTTTTGAATAAATATAATAAGACTTACTACAAGAAAGACATTTTTTGTATTTTATAATAAAGAACAGTTTAATTCATAAAACTTTCATTAGTATTATTACAGCACATAAAATTTAAATGCTTTTACTTAAGTTTATGTTAAAAAATAAAAATGAAGAGAAGAAGAAACTTAAAAACAAAAAAAGAAAAGGTTTTATTATGTGTGCTGATTTATACCAAACAAATACTAACCCTTTAAAGTTAAATACAACACTAAATGATGACAAAAAAAAACAAAGTATTACATTAAGAAATGTTGATGGAAAAAGATGGGTAGATGAATCAATGGCTGATTGGCCAACAAATGACTTTCGTATGTTTGTAGGAAATTTAGGAAAAGAAGTAGATGATACAATGCTTAAAATATTTTTTTCTAAATATCCATCAGTTCAAAAAGTAAAGTTTGTTATTACATAATGTCTATTAAAATAATATGTGTTAATTCTTATTTAGAGTAATTATAAATCCATACACAAATAAAAGTAAGGGATATGGTTTTGTTAGTTTTTCTGATCCTAATGAATATCTTCTTGCATTAAGAACATTAAATGGAAAATATATTGGAACACGTCCTTGTAAATTAAGTAAAGGTAAATGGGAAAAACGTGCTGAAAAATCTTCAACCAAAGAAGGAAAAAAACCAAAGCTACCTAAATGATTAATAATTAAAAATAAATTAGTTATGTTGAAGTTTAGGTCTCCCAATTGCTAAGGCACAAGTAATATTTTGAGTTGGGTCTGTAAATTCTATCCATTCATAATGAATATTATTCTGAATTAATATCAATGATAGTGTTGATAAAAATTTAACGTCATCATCATAAGTTTTTTCTGTTCCTATAGTACATACTAATTGATGATATTTAGGATCAGCATCAGTAAGAATTTTAAATTCTAATTTTCTATAGTTATTAGATTGGATAGAATATTTGGCTTTCTCTATCATTTGTGATATTAATTTCTTAGGCACTTCTTCATCATCACTATTTACTTTTCCCTCAATGTTCTTCAATACAGGAATAACATCACCAAAAGACTCCACATCAATCTTTTGTGGGGAAATACCATTAAAAATAATTGCACCAACAGGACAAACTGATGCACAACAACCACAACTAATACAACGTTCAGGAAAAGATAATGTTGATTTCATATGAGTACTTGTTAATACCTTTGTGGGACATACCCTAATGCACTGTAAACAACCAATGCATTTATTAAAACTGACTTGAACAGGACATTGCATATTAGAGTGAAAATCTTTGAGATTGACAAGACACAAAAATGATAAGTTTCAAAACAAATCATAAATCAGAAATATTATATAAATTTTAACTACAAGGAGTTTGAGAAAATAAAACTTCACAACAAATAAAAATAGATTTGTCTTAAAAAATTGTTTCAGAATTATTTTAATGTGATTATTATCTTTACTCTTTTGGTGAAACGAAAAGACAAAAAGAACTTAATAATAAAACAACTAGGATTATTACTCAATGAATAGCCGTACAATACAAATAAAAAACAATTCATACGAAGATCCCTTCACTCAAGGATATGCTTTACAAGGACTGATTGATAAAGGGTCAGAAGGTATAGTTTATTCTATTTTACACAAAAAATCAGGACAATTACTGGCATGTAAAAAAATTGAAGTTGGAGAGTCAAGAATAAATAATCTAAGAGTACTACAAGAAATTAGACTCTTAAAATATTTAAACCATGAAAATATTATTCATTTAGAAGAGTATCTTTTTGCTCAAATTGAATCTATTAATACTGTTTTTCTAGTCTATGAACTTTTTCCAAGAAATTTATCAGAGAGTATCAAATCAGGAAGGATTACTGCATCCACACAAATGAAATATATTGTTTCACAATTGGCTTCTGCATTATATTATTTACACATTAATAATTTTATTCATCGAGATGTTGTTTGTTTAATATATTTATTCCTGGTTTTCTTTAGATAGAACTAACTAAGTAGAAACCAAGTAATATATTAATCAATGATAGGTTTAAAATAAAGTTGTGTGATTTTGGGTCATGTAAATGTTTAAATCAAAAAGAATCATATCCAACAGTTTGTTTTTGAAATTCTAATATGAATATTAAAATAAATAATGTGATAGATTCAAACTGTATGTACCAAAATTTATATGCCACCAGAATATTTTTATGAAGGAGTTGAAGAAAATACTACTATCGATATTTGGCAATTGGGTTGTGTTTATACACAAATGATTTTAAGAACACCACCATTTAAAGGTCATTCTGTAAGTTCTATTAAAAAATCTATTTTGTCATTAATTAAACCAGAAGAAATAATTAAAATTAATAACAATGAAGAAGTAAATGAATCATATGGGTTAAAAGAAACTAAAACTATTTTACCTTATTTTTTTAGAACATTAAAAATTGATTCTTCTTCACAAGAATTAATTTATGATATGTTACAAATAGACCCATTAAAAAGAATTACAGCAATTGAAATTCTACAACACCAATCAATTGCTATGTTTAAACAACCATTAGGTGAAAAAGAAAGTCATGAATTTGAATTTGTAAAAGGAAATGAAACTTATGACGAAATTGTTCAATTAATAAAAAATGAAATGTAATTAAATATTGTTTGTAATCATTTTATTGCGTTGTTTCATCCAATGATATAATTCCCCAGTAATAATTTTTGGAATTGAATGTACTTCATTAACACTTGGACATCCACAAAGAAATAGTGATGATTGTATTTCATTTTTTATGAAATTAACATAGTTTATACATGCTTCACTTCCTTCTAAATACAACGAAACAAATGGCTTTGTTATTGAAGCTAACGATGCACCTAATGTCATTGATTTAACAATTTCTAAGCCATTACGAATACCACCACTAGCAATAATAGGAAGTGAACATTGAGATGCTTCCCAAATACTCATTGCAGTAGGAACACCAAAATCCCATAATAATTGACCAAGTCTATTTTGTTGATATTGTTTTTTCTCTTTAGCACGAAGACATTCAACACCAGCAAAAGATGTACCACCTATTCCAGCAATGTCTACTGCCTTCATACCTAATTCCTGACAAATCATTACATCTTTTTTCATCATTCCATGACCAACTTGTTTACCAATAACAGTACCATTCCATTTTGAAATAATTTCTTTTAAACGACAGACATCAATTCCATTTCTATCTCCTTCTGCTTGAACTAATTCTTGTTCCCAATTTAAATGGACCGCAATAGCATCACCTTTAATCATAGCTATTAAGTCATCTAATACTTCTCCATATTCTGTTAATTGAACTGATCCTATATTTCCAATAATAAAAGCATTTGGTGCACATTCTCTTACAACCCGATAACTTTCGAGTATTTCTTCATCATTACTTTCTAATCCAGACCTTTGTGATCCAACTCCAATAGCTACATTTGTTTCATTTGCTGCAATGGCTAATGTTTTATTAACTATTTTAACGTCATTACTTCCACCAGTCATAGCACCAATAATGAGTGGGATACTTAATTCTTTATTAAAAAAGTTAATTTTGGTTTGAATTGAACTCAAACTTTGTTTTGGAAAACATGTTTTTTCAAGAATTATATCTTCCAAATGATTGCTTTGATGGCTTTGAGTTTCGTTATTACAACAAAATTTTAAATGGTCTAGCTTTCTACTTGGAGTTAAAGACATAATGTTTATTATGTATTTTTTAGTTTAAAGAACAAACTTTTAATTCTTCTGTTTGATGAATTTTTAAATTTATAGAAGAATTAATAGTAGTTCTCTCATATTATTTATCTCATTTACTAAAGTTTATGTGTATTATAGAACAAAACTAATTATAGAGATGAGTTGATATAATGAATATTTAGAATTTCTTATTTAATGTAAAAATATCTGTTTTGTTTTATTTATTTTAAAGAGTCTTTTTTCAATATCTGATTAAAATTATATTGAATTGTATGTCTTCTAACTATAAATTATAAAAAAATAATTTAAAATAAATGAAATGATTTTTATAAATAATCTAAATTCAACACTATTTAAATAATGAAATATTATAAACTAATTGGAAAGACTAAATAATTTATATAAGTGGCAAAGTACTTAATATTAATGAAAAAAAAAGATAATATTAAATCAAACGATAGAATAAATAATATTGAATTTAATATAATTATCTTCAAAATAAATAAAAACATACAAACAAAAATGAAAAACTATCAATATACACTTATATTCATTAGGTTTTGTATTTAGCTCATACTCAGAATTATACTAATATAGCTTTTGACTATATACTTTCATTTAGACTAGAATTTAAATAAAAAAAATATAAAAGAATAAAAACATTATTTATTACTTAGAGAAATGACAATTATATCCTTTATTTTTATAAGAAAAAAGAACTTAAAATTATAGTAGTTTATGTCAAGGTTATTTCATAAGAAAACACCTCAAGAAATAGTCCGAGAACAAAAATTAAATATTTCTAAATCTATTAGAGAAATTACAAGAGAGTCTAAAAGATTAGAACGTGAAGAAGTAAGATTAACAAATGAAATTAGAAAGATGGCTCGATTAGGAAGAACTAATACTGTAAAGGTAATGGCTGCCGACTTAGTTAAAACTAAAAAACAAATTGATAAACTTCAAGTTGTTATTGCACAATTAAACTCTACTAAAATGAAATTAACAGAAATGAGTTCAATGGTTGCTGTAACTGAAGCAATGAATGGTGTAACTAATGCAATGAGAAAAGTAAATGAAGCAACTAAATTACCAGCAATGCAAAAAGTTATGAATGACTTTGGTTTGTTTCTTTCTTGTTCATAGTAAAATATATTTAATTCAATGTGTAATATTGTAAGGTATTAATCACAATAACTATTACTAATTTCATAGAAAAACAAAATGCTGAATTAGGAATTAAGAATACAATGGTTAGTGATATGGTGAACGAAGGATATGAAGGAGATGATATTGAGGAAGAAACAGAGCTTGAAGTTGATAAAGTATTAACTGAAATTGGATTAGATGTTGAAAATGGTCTTAAGCCAGTCCCAGAAACTCGTCAAAGAAATACTAGACTTAAAGAAAGAAGACAAGTTCAAATGGAAGGTGGGGTTAAAACAAGGAACGAAGGTAATGAACAACCTGAAGACTTAGACACTCCAGGGTCTCGAGTTCCTAAAGCATTTAACGAAGGAGAAGACGATGAAGATGAAGATGATATTGTTTCAAGAATAGCCAATCTTTAATTCAAAAGAAATTCTTTGAAATTCTCAGTTATTATTTGAATTAATAAAAATTCAATAAAAAAGAAATTTTATAAATTAACAGAAACAACAGTGTATTTATGTGAAATGATATTCAGAAAAAAGAATACTTGATTTTCGGAACCATTTTATTTCTCTACAACAAAACACAACATTTTCTTTCTTTTGAACTTTTACTTTTTTTCTTTAATTTATCTTTATCTGGGGTTGGTGTAGATGTTTTAGTATGACCATTACCAACACAAACTCTCACTGCTTGAATCATTACCTCTTTCAATCCTTTTTGTGTTTTAGCAGAACACTCACAAAAGCCATCACATTCAATATTATTTTCTTTAATAAATTCTTGAACGTCGTTAGGAAATATTGGTTTTTGATTTTTAGCTTCTAATTTCTTTATTTCTTCAACACTATCCCTTAAATCTGTTTTTAAACCAACAACTAATGTTCTACTTGAAGGACAGTGATGTTTAACTTCAGGTAACCACTAAATAATTAGTCTTGAACATATTTTCTTAAATTAAAAAACAAAACTTTCTCTGCTATATTATCTAATGAAGATTGTTGAACAACACTATAACATAATAAAAACACATCTGTTGATGGATAAGATAATGGTCGAATACTCTCATATTCTTCTTGACCTGCAGTGTCCCAAATAGCTAATGAAATAACTTCATCTCCTAGAGTAACTGTTGTACTATAATTGTCAAATACTGTTGGAATGTATTCTTCAGGAAATTCATTTTTTGTATAACAAATTAACATGGATGTTTTACCAACTGCTCCATCACCAACAGCAACCAATTTGACAGACATTTGACCATTTCAAAGTTCATAGTTTTTTTTTTTTTATTTTATTTTTTATTAAAAGTATTTACTAATGTATTTTTCTTTTCATTCTTATTTTTAGTTACTATTTAAATTAATTTTATTTATTATTTTAATAATATTTAAATAATAACGTAATTACCAATACTTCTCTTTCTATTTTCATCTCTTCCAAAATATTAGAAAAAGGCAAAAAAGATATTTTGGTAAAAATAAATACAATTGATTTACTCATTGTTGATGAACTGACTCATGTCCTTCTTTTGAAGAAATTTGTGTTTCTTCTATCATCATATCATCAAAAGAATCAAATCTAACTCCTTTATAATTCGGAACATTATTATCTAATTCATTGTTTTCTTGGATACGACACCTAACCAAAGGACTCCTATTATAATAAGGAAGGGTTACTGCTCTAGGATGAGTAAAAATAATAGTGTTTGATTTTTGTAATTTAGGAAATTTCTATGAAATAAGTTAATTACTAAAGTCTTGAAAAAATTATCAACAAACACTTATTTTCATTGAATAAGCACCACAATCCCAAGAATCAGTTATATTATAAAATCTATCTTTTTCAAAGATATATTGTCTTGAATGTAAGTCCTTTTCTATTCTTGTAACTACACAACTTTGTTTTACTTCATACCACCAACGAGTTAACCGTGGTAAAACACAACACCGAATTGTCCAAATATGACCATTACTCCATGACATTTTCCGTTCAACTCCATCATCAAAAACAATATATAACTCTTCACCATATGAAGTAACATAATGAATTGAAAAAGTAACAGGTATGTCCATGTTTTCTTTGTTTAAATCAGATCTCAAAATCCTTGAACATAAATAAGACGTTTTGTTCATTAATAATCACCAATTAATCTTGTTGTCTCTTATTCAAAAAATAAGAAACATTAGAACAATTTTGATTTTTACTTGAGTTCTAAAATTCTTGCTTGTTCTATTTTTTTAATTCTATCTTTTTATGAAGAAGAAATAGAAGAAAAAGAAATTCGATGAAGTAAGAACAAACACTATTAAAATAATTATTTCTATTATGTTATTATACGATAATATTTTTGATTATGAATAAAAATTGTAATTTTCATTGGGTTATCAGTAAAAATAATAAGCTAATACTTACTTGTTTCATAGTTAATAAAATATCATTAGTAAATATAATAACTAAAGAAAAGAATAAAATATATCCTATTTCATGGTTCAAGATTTAAACTTATTAGTTTATTTTTTTTCTAAAATTCAATATTCATATTCATTATGTAATGATGGTAGTTTTATTTAAATTTTATTATTCTCCTTTAATATTTTTATTAAATATCATTGTTTTCATGATATTTGTTAAAGCTACTTATTTAGTATTTCTATTATTTCATCAATTCACTATCTTTTAAGCAATTGAACTAAATAGTTATTATCAAAAAGATTCTAACTCAATGAACAAAGTTTATTCTTCTAGTTGATAAAAAAAAATAATGTTATTTACGAATTAATAAGATAAAAACAATGGAATTTGAACACAAATAATATTTATTGTTAATTATCAGTTATTTGAGGTTTCTTTAAAGTCTTTTCTTGTTTGTTTTCATTTGCCTTTTTAAAGGCTTCAAAAGGGTCTTCACTGTCTTGCATTTCGTCAAAGTTTATTTTACGACTAGGCGTTTTTTTAACTTTGTTAGTAAAGTTATATACGTCTGATTCATAATATGATACATTAAATCCAATACTAGTTGAAGAAATACAAAATAATTGAGAAGTCATTTGCCTTAAAAGACCAATGAACTTATCATTTCCAGGATTTGGAGTAAGTTCTTTTAATTTATTAAGACAGAGGAGGAGAGCTTCATCTATTTTAGTAGAAGCATGAACAACATTTACAAATGGAGATATATCGGAACCCTTATAGTTTTCCTTAATAAAGAATTTTGTTAATGTATTACGAATAATATCATTATGATTTCCTACTTCGTTGAACTAAAGTATAAATATTGTTTTGTTAATAGAACAAAATAAACCTAAAAAACAAACTTCACGCTTATTTTGATATTTAATATTTTCATAGAACACAATATATTGAAAATGAAGATCTCCTATGTCTAATTCATCAAAGTTGTTTAACTTTGTTGCTGTAGTAATATTATTTCCATTGATTTTAATTGATGTTTTTTTTGTCCTTGGAATAATACTTACATCTCCTCTTAAATTAACTTGAAATAATGCAATTAATGGTTCAGCATTTGGTGTTAGTCTTATAGAACATAATGAATGACTTCCAATACCATATTCTTTTTCTGGTTTAAAATATAATCGTTGTTGTTCTTTTGATTCTTCTAATTTAGCAATATAACAAGAACAACCATAGTGGTAATCCATTTGTGAGAAATTTTGTTTTATAGCAATTTTAGAAGGGGACATGATATGTTCATCTTTTGTGGAAGTAGTGTCATTCATCCTTGTTCTTTTATGTTTCTTTTTTTAGTTATTTTAAGTTTTGAATAAAAATTTTTTTTAATTATGTTTTAAAAAACAATTCAATCAACTTTGATTCAAGCTTGAAGGAATAACACATTCCTTTCCAAGTAGTTCTAACTCTAAATCAGAAAACATGTTAATACCTTGACTTAATGCAGAAGTAATCTCTTCAATATTTACTGCTTTAAATGATGTTGCTTTCATTCTTAATTCATTTACATCATCCCCAAATTCTTTTAATAGTTGTGTTAAATATTTTTTATTTTGGTTTGCAATTCGTTCTTCTTCATCAATGCTATAACTACCATCCTCTTCTTCACTACTTTTATCTTCTTCTTCACTACTTTTATCTTCTTCTTCACTAGTTATATTGTCTTCTTCACTACTTTTATCATCACCTGTGCTAACTTCATCATCTTTTTCCAAATCTATTGATAAATCTTCTGACATTTCTTTTGTAACTTTATTATCTGAAGAAGAGTCGTTTTCAGATAATTCTGTTGCAGTCTGCTTATTTGTTGAAGGTACTGATTGTGATAACAATTCTTGACTATTAGATTCTTGACTCTTATTAAGTGTTGTTTTTATAACTGGTTGATCGCTTAGTTTTGACTCAATTTCCATTGTAGGTTTTTCAACTTCTTTAATACTTGGATGGGTGGATGATGATGACTCACTTGATGATTTACTACTTGAACCAGATGAGGAGGTTTCACTTTCTGACATGGGATGTGGTTTTGATTTAATATTTAAAGAAGAATCAGATAATGGTTTAACCTTAGTTGTATTTTTAACTGTAGACTCATTACTTGAAGAAGATGATTCACTTTCTGACATTTGTTCATCTATTTCTTTATTATCTAAAATTTGAGAAGAAGAGACAGACGAAGAAGAGACAGAAGAAAATGGAGATGATGACGAAGATGTTGAGGATTTACTTTCTGACATTTGTTTCAGGGTTTAAAGTTCTAATTATTTTGAGATTAATTTTATGAATAACAAGAATTTTATATAAAAGTGTTATGTGAAGCGGAAAGGTTATTTCTTTTGTGGCAAAGTTTATAACGTACTAACATAAGTACATTATTCGTTTTGTGTCTTTGATGTTAAGAGTTATTTATCTATTTAAAAATAATAAGATTAAAAAAAAAAATAAAAAAGGTGTGGTTGTTGTTAGTAAACTAAATTCACTCAATCTATTTTATATGATAACTCTTTTTCTTTAAGAAAAAACAACTTATAAACTATTTTCATTTTTAAACATCTTTTTGATAACAATATTTTTAACTACATCAGTTATTAAGTAATTGTTATTAAATAACACAAATTATGAAAAAAAAACTAAAAAAGCTAAACAAAGAAAGTCAGAGAAAATGACAACAAATATTACAGAAATTATCCCATTGTCAGAAAGTAATCAATTAATAATTTACTCAAACAAACGAGCATCAGTAATAAATATCAGTACTACAGAAATTACTTGTAATGTTGATTTATCTGAAAATACTGTACTTACATCATTTCATAAAACTTCTCAATACCAAGGAAATCTTTGTGTAGTTTCCATGTCAGGAACCGAATTTTATACATGCAAAGAAGGAGTGTTAGAGTATATTGGAACAGTTCCACAAGGAACTGAATGTAATGGTCAAGTATTTACTTTTACAGACTGTTCAATGCAAGAAAATCAAGTTGTATTTTCTACAACAGATGGATCAATTCTTTTCTTTGAATATTCAACATTAGACCAACAAGCAATTATTCCATTAATCCAAAACTCTATTGAAACAATTGAATATACACAAAACAATGGTATGTTATATGTTATTGATACAAATGGTACATTCTTTTCTCTTGAAATTAATAAAACATCACTTACAATAAAAAGGTGTTATGCTAAAGAAGATCTTCATTCATTTATTCCAATTTTTGATTCTAAAAAAGTACAATTAATACCAACACCAAATGGATGTTTATTATTAATTAATGGCAATGTATTAGAATACATTAAAGATATTCCATCATTATATCTTTATACTATTTCTGATGCTCAACATGCATGTTCAATTAATGGTAAAACATATGTTTGTACATTAAATGGATTATATGTATTTACACAATGTGACAATGAATCAATCCAATCATTTAAATTAACTTCTCCAACACCTGCAATTAAAACATTAATACAACCACCTCAAGTTGTTATATTTACTTTAGATTCAGTTCATTTAACACAATTGCCAGTAGTTCATTCTAGACAAACAATAAATGCTCATAAACAATTACCAATTAATTACAAATTATCAAGAATGTCACATGAATATACTTTAGTCAACTTAGTTTTTGGATCAGGTAAATCTTTGTATGGTATTGATTCTAATGGAAATATTTTTTATTCATCAAATATTAATCAACAAGAAACAACATTATTTGGTAAAATTAATGTCTATCAACCAGGTTATGCTCTTTCTTATATTTTACCAAATAAATTATATGGAGTTTTTGGTATGGGAGAAAGTCTTGAAGTTGCACATCTTGAAACACATCAACACGTTACTACTGCCTATCTTTCTTCTGATAAAAAACCTGATGAATGTATTACTTGTATTGATGGAAATAAAATTGATCAATCCCTTTTTGCTGTTGGATTTTATAATGGAATGGTTGCTACTATCAATACAGAAAAAGTATTATTTAAAACATTATATAGTCATTCTCATAGAGTTGTAACAATCAAATACATTAACAACATAATTGCTTCATTAGATGAAGATGGAAATTTCATTATGGAAGATAATCAAGGTAAAATAGCTAATAACCCAATTAGTTTTGATGTTTTTGGAATGATGTTATTAGTTGTAGAAAATAATTCAGTACAACTCATTAGTCTTAATGACCTAAGTGTTGTGGCGTCATGGGAGATTAGTTCTAATATTATTGATGCAAAGTTTTCAGTTTGTTTTATTTGAATTTCTCAAAATAAATAAATGAAGATTTAACACAGTTTAGTGTGATGGTATGCATGTTGTTGTTGTTTCTAAAGAACGAATAGTTATTTTAAAAAGTAGTGATTTAGGTGTCTTAAATTACATCTCAGTTAATTCAATGTTATCTACTTTAAAATTAAACGCTGAGGTTCATTGCATGACAATCTCAAAAGAAGTACCATGCCAATTTGCAATATCTCTAACTGGAGGATATTATGTTTTAATTGAACCAAAGAATTATAAAGAATGGAAGTATTAATTTATCACTATATTCAATTCAAGTTAACACCCTCTTCTTCATATTTTTTATTACCCATCTCTTCTTTCTTTAAAACTAAACCAACCCAGATTAAAAAAAAATTTATTAAAACAAAAATTATTAAATCTCTATAAAACATACATATATCATTACTAAAAATATTGATCAAATACCTTTAATAACTGACTATAATTTTTAATATCAGTTCATGGAATTTAGTCAAAAATTAAAATAGCCAAAAACTTTATTATAGTTTTTGTTATGACAAATTCATAGGTTATTAATTTTATCTTTGCCTAGATTATCACTCCAAAAACTCAGTAAATAAGACTCTCTTAATATTACTTTATAAAGAAGTTCATAATACCAATAAAAAGAATAAAATTTTAAAGTCTTGTCTAAATCTATCATTTGAAAAATAAAAGGCAAAGCCTTATAAAAATGAGCATAACACCCAGAAAATTATTAATGATAGGATATTTGTTTATATAAATATTATTCTTGATATTTACAAAAATGAAAATTAGTTATTACACATACTTTATTTTCAACTAATATTATCCTTCTCTTAAATAAAACAAATACAAATTATTAAAAATAAATTTATATTTTGTATTACAAAAAAATAATTATATAATCTAGAAATTCTATGTTATATTTCATACTTGAAGTTTTTGGTTTAGACAAAACCAAATACTATTATGTTTGATATGTCTTATAAAAAATTGTCATTAACTATTAAATTTTTAATGAAAAGTAAGAAAAGTCTACATTTGACTATGGTTAATTTCTTATCATTCAGCATTATTTTAATTTATAAAATAACCATGCTTTTCGTATAAGAATTATTCATCAGTTCATTGACTAAACCAACAAACCGTAATATTGCCTTATCAGTTTACTCAAAATAAAAACAAAATAAATTAAGTTGTCATTTTGAAACAACAATACAAACAATACCACCAATAAGAATCAAAGTTCCGATGGCAAAAAATAGAAAGTTTTTCCATCCCCTTATTTCTCCAAAGACTATGATTCCCCATAATGCAGACAAAAGACCAGGACCAGCACAAATCAATGGATAAGACACAACATAAGGTAAGTTAGTATTAGCCACAAACCAACAAACTTGTGCAATAGCCCACATTATTCCGCTGACCATTCCTGGAAGTATTGTTTCCCTGTAAATGAAAGGCTTATTTCGAAACGTAATAATATAACAAATGAAATAAAATGTGGAAGACAAAAAAATGCCCAAGAAATGAGCTAACACATAGTTTATTCCTTCTGGTGAAGCAAGGCCATTGTCTTGTAAATACTTTGCTGGGTCAAATGCAGAACCAAACAATATCCCTGAGGCAATAGCTAGTATTAACCCAACAATCATTTGTAACCATTTTGGCATTGCCTTTAACAATTTGAAGATTGGAGACTCTTCTTCTGATACTAAAATAGTGGTATTTTCTTCTTCTGATCCTTGTTCAAATGCTTTGTCATTCAATTCTTTAATGTCTTCTTCTGGGTGTTGAATTTCATCACTACTTCTACTCGAAGAAGAAGAATTTTTAGATATTTCAACTTTATTTTCTTTACTATTTGATAATTCAATTTCGTTATCTTTAGCTTCTGCCTCCGCTTTTTTCAAGGCTTCTCTTTCTGCTTTAGTAGATGTTTTAATTAAGGCATAACAAGGAACACTACAAGCTGCCAACACTGCACCAACACAATTAAGCCAGAAAATGTTTACATTATCTTTATCAGCATTTAGTCCAAACCACCCAAATGTCCCAGTTAACCACCCCATAACCATATTTCCAACACCCCAAATACCTGGTCCAAGTGAAAGCCCTATTAACTGAATCACTGGAACACAAAGTAAGTTACCAGTACACCAAATTAACCCTCCTAACATGGCAAATGGTTCAAAATAAATGGTTCCTTTATTAATAACATTGTAAAACAATAGAGAAAAAATTCCTACAATAAGAATCCCAATACTCATTACCCATTGGAAGAAAAACCCATCTCCTGTTGGAAATTTCTTCACTACAGTGAAGTTACTACCAAAACATAAAACAGCAACTATAACACAGACATATCCTAAGGCTTCATTCTGTTCATCAGCCATATTTTTCACAATCTTTTTTTTTCCAAGAGAAACTTGTTCCTAAATAATTTTATCTTTTCAATATAAAAAGATACGTTAATTATCAAAATCGAAAATAATCTAAAGCTTTTATAAAAATAAAAGTATAATATAAAAGAAGAAATGAATTAAAAGTCTTTTCCATAATCATACTCCATTGTTGGAATGACTGTTGCTAAGAACTTTAAGAAAATCATTAAATAAAGATCAACCCTTGGTGTTTTTCCATCAGCAATCATTTCATCAACGCGTTTTTTCATAACTTGTGCATGTCTACAGGGGTGAATATAAATTTCTTTAATATCAAGGAATGGGTGTGTGTCTGTAGTAGCAGTTTGACCAGCATGTGTAGCACTTAAATCTTCAAACATCTGACTCTCAGTAAGAGGTTTATGATCTTCATCATATCCAAGTAACCATACTTTAGGAGTTCTATCAAAATGAGAGTAAATAATTGAAATATCATATGTCCTTGTTTTGCCAACATCCACAGTTGCAACAGTGTCATCAGCTTCTTCTGATAATTCATCAGCATCAACAATATCATCAGCATCAA